ATCGTTAGGGAAGAGTTCACAAATCAGGTCTTAAGTTTTTCAAATTCAAAATTCAGGCCTTAAGTTTAAAAATGCAAAAATCAGATATTTGTTAATTAATTAAATATATTTTATTAATTAAATATATTAAAATCACAATTATATAATTCATGGTCATAGATGCATGCTTATGAGTCACAACTTTTTTTTGGTCACATATTATCAAATTAATTGTCACATATTATTTCGATATCACAAATCAAAAAATTTATATATCACAATTTATTTTTTTTGGTCACAGATTAAAAAAATTATAGGTCACATTTTATTTATCGGTCACACATTTTCAAATTTATTGGTCACATTATTTTTTAATCACAAATTATCGAATTTTAAAGTCAATAGTTAGTCACAATAAACCAAATAGTTGATCACATACACCAAAAAACCTCACCCCGAATAGTTGGTCACAAACAGTATCCCACCACCGTCCCCACCACAACAGCACCATAATGCCACCAACAAAGCCGCCACCATTAGATCCAATATACTGCCAACAAAAATATCACAACCACCACTGTTATCACCACCATTAGTCACTACCGCTATAGCCGACACCATTTTTGCAACACCACCATCACCACAGCGCACCAGCAACACCACACACATACCACCAGTCACCACCGCCGCCATCTTCAAAACAACACCACACACCAATCATCAATAGAAAGTTGTGCATTTACCGGTTGCGTGGAGGGGCTTGTAGAATTTGATGGGGATGGTTATTTGTTGATTGGCGACCATGGTTAGGGTGGTCTTGAGGAGAGGAGTCGAACAGTATATTGGGCATGCCGTGAGGAGTCGTCGGCATCAGTCGGCGCTGTCGTTCAAAGCAGCGTCAGCCGATGATGCTGCTGACAACTCTCAGCACCCCTCGATGCCGCAGAGTTGTCGATCGACACAACCCCTTCATTGTCGGTCATCGACGTTCGAAGAGAGAGAGGGAGAGAAAAGAAGAGAGAGAACGGAGATATGTAGAGAGAAGAGTAAAAATCGGCCGAAGAAGAGAGAATGAAGAGTGAAAAATAATTAGGATTTGGGTGGGTGGAGTTAATTTAATTTTAAGATATTAAAAA